GTTACCAGGCCGTCAGCAGTGCAGTGAAGTGCCGCGTTACCAGGCCGTCAGCAGTGCAGTGAAGTGCCGCGTTACCAGGCCGTCAGCATGTCAGTGAAGTGCCACGTTACCAGGCCGTCAGCAGTGCAGTGAAGTGCCACGTTACCAGGCTGTCAGCAGTGCAGTGAAGTGCCGTGTTACCAGGCCGTCAGCATGTCAGTGAAGTGCCGCGTTACCAGGCCGTCAGCAGTGCAGTGAAGTGCCGCGTTACCAGGCTGTCAGCAGTGCAGGCTGCACATCTCTCAGGCTTTATAGTCTCTAAAAGCACTTTCATGTATGTTTGGATACAGGGATGGATATATTATTTTCCAGCTTTCCTTATTAAGCCTCAGAACAGTTTGACCAGTTATCATTTCTGTAGCCTAAAATGCATTTTTATATACATTTAATCTTTGCATAGTATTTAGTGTTGCATTCATACATATGATTGGCTGTTTGTTTGACGTGTGACGTGAAAGGCTACTCGTGTGAATCACTAATGAGGTGTAACATGATAGGCTGCCTGTGTGGGTCACAAAGGAGGGATCATATGATTGGCTGCTTCTGCGGCTCACAGAAGTTAGCTGACCACCTGTGCGTTTTACTTGTCTGGTTTCGCTCCGCGGTGTTCTGGCGTCGTGCTCGGGCCAGGTTTGCTACCCCAGGGTTGTGGGCGGGTGCCACACGACCGGCACAACAGGTACCACGGAGACACAGCTTGTTTCTAGCTGACTTCAGCGGTTCATAGTCACCCCAAGCGATGTAGAGCAGAAGAGAATCACAGAAGAGGGATCGTAAAAATTCTTGGGTGATCCGACGTAAAGCCAGAAGCAGCAACTTCAAATCTGTTTTACGCCATGAAACCTGACTTTCACTTAAAAACATGCGATCGTATCCGATTAAATCATCAGTAAGTGACACAAATACCATCATGTGACTCCTAGGGCCGTGACATGTGACATTTACTGAGGGAGGTGGCTGCGTTCCTGGGATTGTCTGACCCTGACTTCCTTTCCTGCCTCCCGCTGTTACACTTTCATCACTGCTATCAAGCGGCGTCCAAATCCGAGACAGGAAAAGGTGGCGTTTTCGGGAAACGGCTGGGCTAGGGGTGGGGGGTGGGGTGGTGGAGGGAACAAACGGAAACACATCTCTATAGTATTAAAGGGGAATAATGTGGGACAGTCCCTTGTTGTTACTTGGCCCCTAGGGGGCGCAATGTCACACACACATTAGTGTCGGCCAATCCTATGGGACTGTTGGTCACCTGACACACCCTGTAGGTAGATGCCGCCCCTGTCCCCACATCTATTACCCTAGTGTGCTCAGTAGGGCATTGATTCTCAGAACTGTGACTGACCGCATCAGCTGGACCTTTGCTTTGTCCCATTTTAAATTCACCTTGTATACGGGCTTGGCCGCGGACCATGCTGTGAATGACAGCAGCCCTGCTGTCCGTTTCCACAGATGAGCCTTGGCGTGGAAAGCAGACTGCCCGTCATCTGAGCTCTGAATACCAACATGGCATCAGGTCCAAGCCCGCCCCAGTGTACCCTGTGCTGAAGCAGATTAGACCCAGATGTCAGAGGCTAATTTGCAGCGACTGATTCTTCTCTTGTGACAGGCCGCGAGAACCACACGTGTACCATTAAGGTGCACATGCATGTTTAATTCCATGCTTCCAAACATAGGCATGAGGGCGGGGACTCTGGCATGACATCACCACGGAACTCCCTCCTGATTGGCTGGGGCCCAGTCTGCTGCCTGGTTGGGGCTGTTCTTCTTCAGACATGTGTTTCATACCTCGGGCCACTCGGTCATACCTGAGAGCCATTTTCCGAGGGGTCAGGAGGTCACAAGGCTGGGGTGATGGATGCCAGTCCATCTCAGGACACTTACACGCACACTATGGGAAATTTGAAGACTACGTGAGGAGCAGTGGAGGAAACCCGCATCAGAACCTGCAAACACAGAGCATAAGCAGGGCTACCACTGTGTGCGGCACCGGGGCTACTCATTCAGATAGTGGGTCACTCTGGGTTAATGTCTCCCCAAGCCTTTAATACCTGTCCTCTTTATGTCAGCCTGCTAATTAGATCGTTGTAGCAAACCAGTGGCTTGTCTCCCTCACTTTCTCATTAATCCCTTAGATTAAAGGGTTTACAGAATAACGCCACGATCGTTAGAGCGCTGAGCACGGCGTGTCACCACTTGCAAAACAACGGGCTGGTTCACGTCCCTGAAAAACGGCTTTGTGGCCCCACTGCTGTGTTTTTGTAGGGAAGTGGGCGTGGAAATGGGATGCATGTATAGGAACCTACATTCAGTCCAAATGCACCCTAATTATTGGGATACAACTAGGCCCTAACATTTATACCAACATGGCCGTCCTATATCTGTTTACTATACTTATAGAAAACAAGACACTAAGTAAGTTCCTGTACTATACCTGCACACCCCTACTCTACTTGCACACCGCTACACACCCTACTGCCCCCTACCCCACATGTACCTAAAGAGATTCTACAGTGCACTTACTCCGTGTACAGTTTCATGTACAGTTAGTGGAGGAGTGTACTTGTAAACACAGA